TGAAATTAAAAACAGATTTTTGAAGCGTGGCCGGATGCCACAAGGAAGAATGAATGTTTATCATTTTATTACATTTCACAGCTATATGGTGTACATAAATAAAGCACACTGGCCTTTGGAACACATAAGGGCAATAGGAATAAATTTACTACTTTTCCTGTTCTGTGTTAAGAAAGAAGCTATTTTCAGAATATTAACTGAACAACTGTCAGTGCTAAAATGAATAGCCCATTACTGTAATATGATCATTATTATATAAAAAAGAAAATAAATCTGTTTGCAGCTAAAACATATACTTTACTATGCTTACAGTAAAGCAAATTCACAGGACTTAATGTGCACTTTAATGCATGTAACCGGCAGTCCAACAGCACAGAGGACAAGAGGACATTGACTGTATAAGAAAATGTTACCATCATTGTAGAAAGGGGTTCTTTATGGTAATGTAAGCCGTGTACCGGGTTGGGCTCCCCAGGATACAGTGAAGTCATGAACGAGGAAAGCAACCCCAACACCAGCTTTTGCCACAACAGAATTTTACTTAGATGTGGCAAATAAACACAACCACAAATGCTGGAAACATACAATAAATTTACATACACCCAGCCCAAAGGCTGAGACCCTTGTGCTGCACAGCACGGCGCCTTCTGATGAATGAAGGTAGAAAGTAAAGTAATTTACCTACTGGCGGGCACAACTAAGCTGGCACACCTTACCTGTTATTACCCTAAAAGAGCAGGAATCAGTGTATGGGTGTATGGTAAGGGCTAGCCTGCGGTGCAGCTCAACAGCTTACAATCTTACACAAATCTACAGTATTCCCTCTTCCATAACTGGTCCTGTAGCACATGCCTGAGTATTCCTTCCGAGCAAAACGCCAGTCTGGCTTGAGTTTGTAGGATTTTATCAGCTCTCCAATGTGAAATGTCACTTTAAGTTGTGGAGTCCTTCCAATAATCAGTAACAACACTTGTGGCCTGACACAAACAGAGACCCTAACTAACTAACTATAGGCCTGGACTCAGTCTATAGGCGCCAACACTGAAATGAGGTGCGTGCATGATCTTACTGCGCCATGTCTGCTTTACATCCGCTGGTGACTCTGAACAGAACAAATGTCTCTCCAACAAGCATGCGGTCTTGCTGTATATTTTGCTTAGTTCCTCTGCTCTCATCAGCCTTCCTGGCAGCAATCTCATCAGCTTCCTGGCAGCAATCTCATCAGCATTCCTGGCAGCAATCTCTGGTTACTGAGGGTCGCTTTCACACCTGGATGTCATCAGATTCTCAGCTCACATGGCCCCTTATTCACCATGCTCCAAAACATGGCTTCTCTCTCTCCTTCCTGTTCTCTCCAACTCTGTGTGCAAAACCCCACCTCTTCATGAATATACAAATACCTATGCAGTCTGAGGCTATGTTAGAAAAACAGTGACATCTTGTGGCTAAACCGCAGAATGTCAGTCAAAACATTAATTTACTTCCACACTAACAGTGTTCAAACAATGAGAGCTGTTTTCCCATCTCACAGTAAGAGTGGTTATGTTGTCAAATGTCCTAAAGCATGAAATGGTAAGGTCAATAAAGGAATTTAAAAAACATCTGGATGATAATTTATAACTAACAAAATCCACAGCGACAAATTGCCCAAAGATTTCATTGGAACATTCTGATCCAGGAAAACTGATTTGACTATCCTTGTGATGTCAGGAAGGATCAGCCAAACCTTTCTTCATGCAATATTGAGCAGAAATCACCAGTTTGTCTTCCACTGAAACCAAACCGGCAGGAGCTATGACAGGATAAACATGATAGACATGAGTCTGTTTTTCCGTAAAGCTACATATGCATATTCATAACAAATTCACATATGCCACGTCTCAGTGTCTGGTAGATGGTCCATGAGGACCTTCTGACATAGTTCTCAGGGCATATTGTACCTTTTATCCCAAAGATAAAAATATACAACAACAAAGTCTCAAATATGAAAGTTATGCCATTTCTAATGTGATCTTGGAGCTCCTCAGCTTCACCACTAGTGCATTGCTTATCCAAAACAATTTGTAAAGTTGAAGTTCTTTTTCTGCCAACTAGTTCTTAGTTAGTAGGACTGATGTTATCATAAATTGACAGTGTTGTGCTACATAGTAGATGCCTAAATGGACATGCCTTTTGGAAATTTTCCTTAACTTCCTCTACTGTAGATTTAACAGGAAGTGAGAGGATATCTTTACAGTGTGGGGAAAACCCCTTCTTAAATAGTTGTCACCAGAACAAGTGTCTTCATTTAGATTTTTCCTCTCTATTCCAGTACTGGTAGCCAATTCAAATTCAGGATTTACCCTTACATTTCTTGGTGACTCTGGTGATGAGGAGAAATAGAGAGTGAATCTCCCTAATGGGGAAATATACAGAAACTAAACCTCATTACTCTGTCTATAGAGTGATGGTTACTTTTTTTATTAACTACAAAAGACAATAAAGAAATGCAGGGTGTGGACAAAATAACACTTTATTCCAAAACACTGTGTTAGTCTAAGATTAATGCCACCAGATGACTTCATGCAAAACGATTCAGGTATTTCAGGAAAATACCACATAATGGCCACTAGATAAAACTGACAATCATAAGAAATAAACATATTAGACAAATTACAGGAATTATTTATGACAGATGTGTGAATCTTTGAGCTTTTTCTAGTATTCGATACTAGAAAGGCTAGATATACAATCCTTCTCCCATCAGTTTTTCCATCAGTGTTTTTTTTTATCTTGCATTTTTTGGATTGCTTTTAATAAAATGATTATTCTGTGTATTTATTTAATTTTACATGACTGATTTTTTAAGTTGTGGGCAGGATTATAAAGAAGAGCAGTTACTGTTATCTACATTTATTGTTCACCTTTATACTCAGTATTGCTGTGCAGAAGAGTGAGTCTATTGACTTTGTTCTCACCTCAAGGGTGACCTTTGTTTTGTGTTCATAACCCTTTTCATTTCTCTTTAAGCCCACATTGAGCAATTTGCAAGACCAGTTCATGTATCATAATAGGCCACATCCATTTCAACATTGGGCTTGGGAGTTACCTTGCAAAGGGGAAGCTAAACCTTCACCAACTCTGCTCTAAAGTTGATGAAGGGGCCTCTTTCCCACATCTGGTTCCCCAAAAAGGATGTGGGTGTATTAGGGGAACTTATAGTAGAATCTGGAAGCACCTTTTATAATAAAGGCAGTTGTTTATCTCCAAAAGAGAAATCATGGAGAGCCTCTTTGATTGGCTTTAGAGGCAGTTTCAGCAAAATATTAATATGCCCATGCTTAAGGAAAAATGCAAAAGAAAAGCAGCATGCATAATATTCTGACATATAATATCCATAAACATTGTTAGTAAAAGTGCAGCGCTTAACCCCTGTAAACAATGAAATGTAGTGACTACATGAGTTCAACCAAAACATGTATGAATCCAGGCAATTGCAAAAAACTAAGCTTTGATAGAACAGCAGAGAAAACTCAAATGTAAAGAGCCCTGATTTAGGTTCATACGCACTGACGTCACCACGCATGTTCACAGATGCTCGTAGTCTTGGACACTTTCATTTGAATAGCACTATACAGATGCAACATTTGTGATCATTTTTAATCTTTCTTTTTAAATAAACAGTTAGACTATGTGGAGTGTTCCAGTTTCTTCTCCTTACATAAACCGCTTTTGAGATTGATCTTTGTGGATACCAGTGGAGGCCTGTGTTTCTCCTGTGGACCCCTTGTGATGATACACCTTCCATGCTTTTTGTGACCAAAAATTTGGAGGTCATTGCCGTCTGGTAAGCATTCACTTTTTAGCACAGAGGTGGAGCAGATGTCACCTGGAGGAAGGAGCATACTGGGGGAATGTTTTTGGATTGCACCTGCATATGAATTGAGACACTGCATGTGAGATTTCTCATTATTGTTGTATCACACCTGAGCTTTTTGCAACTGGGTGGATTCAAACATATTTTTGTTGTGTGCATGTTGTTACTCTATTTATGTATTCATTGATAGTTTATTTTTATAGTTGGTTAGCGCTGCACTTGAACTATCAGTTTCAACAAGTTACATCTCAGCATTACCTATTTTTTCCAATTCTCTTTCCTAGCCACAGCTGGTTATGGACACCAACCACATTGGCATGTAGTTATGAATTCTTTCAAAAGTGATTATTTACAAAATTTACTGAGGTCAGTGAAGGATTCCTTTAAAAAAAATATATTTTTTATAAATGAAGACTCATTTATTAAAACTTCCCTTTTTAGGTATTTTTGAGGCAAACTTGGACTTACTTTAGTATAGAATAAGGAAGGGTGTACATCTTTTAGCAAGTTACATGGCAGCATTACCTATTTTTTTATATTTTTGTTTCCTAGCCACAGCTGGTTACGGACACCAACCACATTGGCATGTAATTATGAATTCTTTCAAAAGTGAATATTTACAAAACTTACTAAAGTCAGTGAAGAATTCCTTTCAAATCAAAAATTATTTTAACCACTTGTCTACCGGGCACCCCCTTCCTGCCCAGGCCAATTCAGCTTTCAGTGCTGTCGCACTTTGAATAACAATTGCACGGTCATGCACCACTGTACTCATATGAAATTTTTATAATTTTTTTGAGACAGATAGAGCTTTATTTTGGTGGTAATGAATCACCTCTGGGTTTTTTTTTTTTTGATAAACAAACCAAAAACAACTGAAAATTTAGAACTTTTCTTAGTTTCTGTATAAAAGTTTGTAAATGAGTAATTTTTCTCCTTCACTGATGTGCGCTAATGAGGCTGCAGTGATGGGCACTGATAGGCTGCACTGATAGGCAGCACTGATGGGCACTGATGAGGAGGCACTGGTAGGTGGCACTGATGGGCATTGACAGGCATCACTGGTGGGCATTGACAGACATCACTGATGGGCACTGAAAGACAGTACTCATATATGGCACTGATAGGCATCACTGATAGGCGGCACTGACTGGCACTGTTAGGCGGCACTGACTAGCACTGTTAGACGGCACTGGCTGGAACTGTTAGGCAGCACTGATGGGCACTGATAGGTGGCACTGACTGGCACTGATAGGTGGCACTGAAAGACAGCTCAGATGGGCACTGATATGTGGCACTGATGAGCACTAACAGGTGGCATTGATGAGCACTGACAGGTGGCATTGATAGACACTGACAGGTGGCACTGATGGGGCTACACTGATCAGTGCCCTGATGATCAGTGTAGATGTCCCCTCTGAGGAATGCCGATTACCGGCTCTCCTCTCCTCACGAGCTGTCAACATGACAGCTCGTGAGGAGAGGAATGCTGATACACGGCATTTCCTTATTTACATGCGATTAGCTGTGATTGGATACAGCTGATCATATGACAGAGCCGATGTCATCGGCTCTATCCGCTGATTGGGACGTGCATGCGCGGTTAGGGTGGGAGGATGTCATATGACATCCTCCCAGAACAAGAGGACCACCGCCTGTCCGTTATTTCCTTAGATGGTGGGTGGGAGGCAGTTGCAAAGTGAAGACTCATTTAATAAAACTTTCCTTTTTAGGTATTTTTGAGGCAAACTTGGACTTACTTTGGCATAGAATAAGGAAGGGTGTACTTCTTTTAGACTCTGTTACTTCTTACTGTTACTTTTTTTTACTCTGTTCTAAACTAGAGAGTACATTACATGTTAGAATTTATTTTTTCCATTATTTTTTATCTATCCACAGCTGGTCCTTTTGATCTCTTTTGAATCTTCATGAGGCTTCCTTAAAGCCAACTCATTCTCTGAGTGTAAAGGTTCCAGTGTCCTCCTCAAGAGAAGAAGAAGAATGAAAAGATAAAGAAAAACTTAACACTGTGGCAATCTCACAAATGAATATTTGTCTTGGTTAGATTGTATATGTATATTTCTAAAACAAGTTTTGCATAGAATAGGGAAGAGTTAGATGGCAGGTAATGAGGAGGTGGAGGAGTGTGAGATTATAAAACCATTTGTAGACTCTGGCAAAGATGCTTGAATGGGTCCACTCCATTGTCACACCATAATTCTTTTTGTCTCTTAAAAAGTAAATATACTGTACATTTCACTCAAGCTCATTTTAAACAAGTGGTGACATCAATAAAATCATATTTAAAAAGTAAAATATTTCACACTTTCCATATGGTATTCTTAATACAATTAATAATAAACCAGCAAACAATTTGCTACCATGGAGTGAGGTAGTTTAAAAAAAACCATGAAAGATATATTCATACATAAAATATTTATGATCACAGATCCACTTAAGTAGCAGGCCTGCTCTTCTCTAAACCTCCTGTGCAAAATGAGAATTCCAGAACAAATGTATCACAGAATCATCATTGGTATACATGTCACAGGCTCTTGTCACCAGGTCTCTATGATGGTGGAACTCTCTTGAGGGGAGGCACTGGTGGATTATAGCCTGGGCGAGGTCCTGTGTACGTTTATCAGAAACTTCCTGTACGCATTCTTTCACACAGTCTTGGATCTCACCTGGGAGAAATCAGAGATCTGTAATACACTTTCACAATTTCTGCATCAATGTTTCCGAAATGTTCTGATGGTTTTCTTTCAGACAACATAGTGTTTGAGGGGAGATAAAAGCACAGGAACATTCTAGGAGATTGTGGTCTATTGCCTAAAAACCATCCCCCACATTATACTTTGAAAAAAAACTAAAAATGCAATTGTTTTAAAATTCTTTAAAACAGAAACATAAATAGTTTACAAAAAAATATAAAACTAGATTAGGAACATCCCTCCCTCTATTTGTCTTACATCTATACATAAAATCTCTCTTTAACTTTTCCATTTTCAAATACACAAATCAGAGTGAGGAAAATCCATGGCAACATATAGCATATTAGGGAGTAAAACCGTTTTTGTAATTAAAAACTTCTCTTCCAATGCTAGGCATTTCAAATTCCACAGTGATATTTTCTTCTCTATTTTCCTTAAAAACCAAATAGCAATTATTGTGACTGTTATTTTGTTGATTAAAAACAATTCCTAAGATATTTAACCCCTCATCTTCACCTGTGAGACACGCCAGTATAAAAACAGCCATACTTGTGAATGTTAAGTTTAAACCCAGAAGCTCCACAAAAGAGTTGCATTTAAAAAAAAAATTCCTTTTTAATGAGTAAGGTGGGGCATATAGATAACACCTTCACCTGGCTATCACCACCACCACCAGGCATGACAACCCCTCACATAATTTTATCCTTTTCTAAAAATATTGAAGGGTTGAATGGCACAAAAAAAAAAGCAATTGGGATAGAGGATGCCTCTGCTTTGCACCTGACTTTAAAAGCACATTTCCGGTTTAAAAACCCATTTACAGAAACTTTGCTAAAACATGAGTAATAAAATAACCTAATACCACTTAGAACGATCTCAGGCACATCCATTCTTCCTAAACCTTAAAAAGGTACCCATGTAAACCCTCAACAAAAGCCTTTTGAAAATCTAAAGGTAAAATTGCTAGGCTCTGACCTTTCTCCTTTGAATACCAAATAACATCATGTATAATAGCAAATATTAGCTGGCAACTCGGTAAACTCAAAAATAATATTTTTTTTTTTGTTACATGTAGAAAACACAGTGAATACAGCTAACCCATATCATAGCATAAGGCCACAATGGCCGATACACATCAGCTGTATTCACTGTGTTTTCTACATTTGACAATGAAAAATTCTTTTTTGGAGTATACCAAGTTCCCCACTAATATTTTCTACTATCCAGGTGTACTGGGACTGCACATCCCCACCAGGAGCACTGGTCTTCAGCCACAGATCTCCCAATCAAGCTATAGAGCTTGGGTATCATATCCAGTGACTTTCAACATTGGGTATAACATTAAGGGACTACAGGTACCCTGCAAACCTGATTTGGGTGAATTAACACTTAAGACTTCGGACCCCCCCCTGAAAATAGATTGTTCTGTTGCAACTTTGCAAACAGATCTGTTACATGCATCCTTGCATAGTTTCAGGACACATTGCTATTTGTTGGTGTATCACAGATCACTGTGAACAAATGATTGGGCTGTGTGGGTGGAGCCCCGCACAGCCGTGTACTTTCACACTTTATAGATTGTGCCAGCAACTGTGGGGGAGTATCTCCGGCTTGCTGTCACAATGGGGTACCGGGGGAGGGGGGGTGCGAGGCTGCTGCATTAGTAACATATTTCATGCATCCAAGAACAGGTTGGTGACAAACAATGATGTTTCCAGCCTGATGAAGCACCGTGTCATAAGGCAACATTGATAACTAAGTGGCATGGGAAATAACACATCAAAATGTTGGGTCCATGGCCAGAAAACTCCCCAGACCTTAATGCCATTGAGAACTTGTAGTCAATCCACAAGAGGTGGGTGAACAAAAAAGAAACACACTCATTCTGACAAACTCCAAGCATTGATTATGCAAAAATGGGCTGCCATCAGTCAGGATGTGGACCAAAAGTTGATTAACAGCATGCCAGGGCGAATTGCAGAGGTCTTGAAAAAGAAGGGTCAACACTGCAAATCTGACAAAAGGATCTAAAAACACTGAAGCAGCAGACTGTGTGAAAATTAATATTTGTGTCATTCTCAAAACTTCTGGCCATGGCTGTATATATATATATATATATATATATATATATATATATATATATGTATATACCATAGATGCTCATTAACTACGACCACCTATAGCAGATATATTGCGGCAGAGCGGCCCCGCTGTGCCTAATCATGTACATGTACGTCATCGGGCTCTTCTGGGTAGGGGGCTCAAGTGTGCCCATTGCCACGGCTGTGCTGTCATTCACTACAGCACAAGCCCATTAGTGGGTCCCGACCTATGATTTATGGCCAGAACCTGCTAAGCGGATGACATAAGAGAGCCCTGTGTTGGCAAACAACACAGTACTGTCTACAGACAGCAGCAGTGTGCCATTTTTTTTCTCCTTACAAAGAGGGGAGTAAAAGCTGGCACATTGCTTAGTAAAAACAGCACACAGTACATGCAGTTACTAGGCACACAGTTTACCCTTTGATTGCCTGTAAATGTTAACCCCTTCCCAGCCAGTGTCATTAGTGCAGTGACAATGTATATTATTAGCACTGATCACTGTATTAGTGTCACTGGAGATGTCAGTGTCATTTAGTCAGTTCCCACCCAGTGTCAGATTGCCCTCCACACTATCACAGTCCCACTACAAGCTGTTGATCTCTGCCATTACTAGTATTAAAAAAATAGATAAATAAAAATTCCAGTGTGTGTGTGTGTGTATATACAGTATATATATATATATATATATATATTGTATTATATATATATATATTGTATTATATATATATATATATATATATATTGTATTATATATATATATATATATATATATATATATATAAGACTTTCACGCAAACCAATCAATACACACTTTATATTGGATATATTTTATAGCAGAAAGTAATAAATATATTTTTTTAAAACATTTTGGTCTTCATTCATTTATATAATAAAAAAATAAAAACTCCAGTGGCAATCAAATACCACCAAAAGAAAGCTCTATGTGTGTGAAAAAAACTGCATAAATTTCATTCAGTTACAGTGTTGCATGGTTGTGCAATTGCCAGTTAAAGTAGCGCAGTGCCGAATAACAAAATAATTGCCTGGTCACAAAGGGTTAAATTCTTCCGGAGATTAAGTTACATAGTCTGGCTGAAAAAAAGACAAACGTCCATCCAGTTCAACCAAAAAAAAAAAAAAGTTATAATCCTACACCCACCGTTGATCCAGAGGAAGGCAAAAAACCCAGCAAAGCATGATCAAATTTGCTCCTGCAGGGGAAAAAATTCCTTCCTGATCCCCCAAGTGGCAATTGGATGTTCCCTGGATCAACTGAAGTGAATGAAGTGGTTAAGCCTTTTTTTACTCCAAAAACTTTGATTAAAATGCATAGAAAATACCTATTTTTCTATTATATAATTTTAAGAGCTAAAATATCTGGGTGTGTTATGCTATCATTTTTCTAGAGTTATGCTCTAGATGATGCTTTAACATTTAAAGAACTGTTCTCTATTGCCACAATAAATATGCTTTATGCATTCAAGTAAATATTAGACAAGGTGCTATAAAAAAGTAAAGGTTTTAAATGGCATGTACATATATTCTAAAATAGAAAAGGGTTTTAAACTTTAAAAGAGAGTCAATTTCATGATGTGCAGGTAACAGTAAATGAGAAAAAGAAACATAAAAAAAAACAACAGTAGCAGTCCTTCACAGTTTAATTTTAAAAGCAAGTGGATAGGAACAATGGCACATTATTTCATATAATTCTGATATAAACCATTGTGTAAAAGATGATGATATATTTTGTAAAATGTTACTATATGGGATTGGGATGTGGTTGTAAGGTTTTCCAAT